CAAAGGTGTGGACAGCATGGGTTAACAGTTTGCACCCCTTTATCCTTTCTCCAAGGTCTTGTAATCCATCCTCTGTTACCCGAGCAGCTGTAATGTCAGCTGCTCACATGTGCTTTATCCATTGTTGTATCACATTCTTCATCATGTCTTAACCATACACCAGCCATTTGAAGGGGTAGTTGGTGTTTTGGTCAGGAGGGGTGGATGTATGGGAGAAGAGAGAAACACGGAACATTGGATTTTCTTTAAAGAGACTTTGTGGTCTGTGGTAACTAAAGGATTCCTCACATCTGTCCTGAATCCATGAACATTCAATGTATGGTAACGATTTCCAGTGACTACTGATTGCTGCTGGTTCAGAAGCGAAAGGCCAGAAATCACATGAACCTATTCCATTTCTTTAATAGGTTTTACTAGTGAATTCACTGTGGAGAAAACATTTTGCAAGTTAGAGTAGGTCACTTTATCTTTTTTGACTCTCTATGTGGGTTTACTGTTCTGTTCATATACATAGGCTGGTGGTGGGCAGAGTTGCCTGTAGTTGGTTTTGAAAGAGGGAGCACACTTAAGGGAAAAAAAAGAGAATTCAGACGACTTGGTTGTAAAGCACAGCAGGGAGGGATCTTGATGAACAAGCCTCAGTGCACTTCATTGTGACCCAGCATGGTTTTCGATGCAGTATGTACTGAAGCAGCTCCTTTGGATTGGGATGTAGGTGTTATGGAACAAGTAATCAAGTTGTGTTCTGTGTCTGTATACCTGTATGTCTTGGTTATGAAAATGTTCACCAGTGGGTCAGCTGCAGTTCTGCTTTTCTTTGTGTATGCCAGACTGGTTCTTGATATTTTTGATATGTGTTTTAAGGCTTTTTTTTAGCTTCACACAGACTTAAAATGTGGGGTATATTATTTTAAACTAAGTTATTTTTTAAATTTTAGTTGCCTTCTTGCTCCATGGGCATGCTTTTTGTTTTCCGCTTTTCCAGACTTTTACTGTTTAAGGACATCCAATACTTACTGCATTAAAGAGTCTTTTTGGCATTTATCTTCACTTATAATCATGTTTAAGATTCAGTACCTCCAGGGTCTTAGCAACTTTAAAGCATGTTCGTCACAATGGCACTTAGTCTTTAATTTCTCTTTTCACCGAGTGGTATGCATGTATTTATCTTTTGATTGCACAGCTTCAGCAGTGATGTAATGCAGACGTTTCAGAAATTACACTGCGAACAGAATTTTTCAATGCTTTTGAGTAATTGAAAGCTGTCCTGAAGAAAGTCCTCTATATGAACAATATAATCTTAAAAGAACGCAAGTCGTATAAAGCCAAGACCTCATGAGTTAATGTGTGCTACAGTTACGTGTATAGAGTCATAGAATGGTTTGGGTTGGAAGGGACTTTAATGCTCATCTACTTCCCACCCCACTGCCATGGGCAGGGACACCTTCCACTAGACCAGGTTACTCCAAGCCCTGTCCAGCCTGGCCTTGGACACTTCCAATGCTGAGATATTCACAGCTACCCTGGGCAACTTGTTCCACTATCTCACCACCCTCATAGCAAAGAAATTTATCCTTACATTCATACATGTGAACCAGAACTCTTTTATTTCCACCTGGAGTTTCTGTTCTACTCTGCCATAGTGTACATATATAAGAGGACCACTTTGTGCTGGGAATAAAGTTTCTCCTCTCCCACAGTTTGATAACAATCTCTTTTGGGGGTAGAAGTGTTAGGCTAAGTACCTTTTTGTGGTTGGAAAGGATTCATCCCTCACTGTTAAAATAGGCGATCAGAGGTATGGAATTTTGGAGGGTTTGTGTTTGGGTTTTTTCCTCCAATTCTCAGAGTTGTATCACAATGGCCTAAATATCCCAGGTTTGTACAAGTAACATGAGCGGGGTTCTCTAGCAAGTGTTATGGTTTGCCTCGAGAATGGCTTGTACTGGGCAATTTGTTGCTTGGTAGTTACAAACAAGTTGTTAACACTGGACTGGATTGAGTAGCCTCTGTTGCTAAATGCCTGCCGTCATGAGCAACCATATGACCAGTGATTAGTCCAGGAGAGTTCATGGAGTGTAACCATACTTATCTTCTTATTCAAGAAGTCACACTTCTCAACACTCCTCAACAGCCTACAACAGTTTTCAGATCGTAAAGTATCAGAATACATGAGCCAGTACTACTATTTAAAGAAGTTGTGGCTATTTAAGTTGTATAAATTTGTAATCGTAAGTCTAACTAGTGGTATACGAATAATATAATCCAGTTTTCCTTGTCTTTTTAATGCCTATAGAAAAGGTATTTTAAAGAGCTTTTTAAAAGTTAATTTTGCAAAATTTACAGATCAGCCATAAATTCAAAGAATTAATTAGAAGTATAGAATCCCAATGTTAGATTTGTGGCATTTTCAGTACTTGCAGCCATATTCCTAGATAGGACAAGATTTTGCTACATTTTCCAGGCACATCCATGCCAAGTGCAGGAAACCTGGACTATGATGATGTTTTCAAATCTGGGAAGTTTTGGGCTTTGCTGCTACTTCAGGAAATGTTGTGTGTCACTTTCCCTCCTTTAAAACTGACAGCATACCCACTGTTGCTAAGAGATTCCTGAACCTGATCTTTTGCTGCCAAAAAAAACAAACAACCCTCTTGTGGTCTTATGTATGTATACTATGGCAGTCTGTGGCATTTTTTCCTCAAATCTTTCTGTCCTGTGGGGACCATACAGGTGCTGAGCTGCCTGAGGATCATCATCTCACACTGCCTCCAACCTCTTAGATCATTCTTCATGTTTGCACTTACTAAAAGCATTTGTTAGGTTAAGTCTTTGCCATACCAGCGTGGTTTACTGGGTTGTCAGTCCCATTTTTAAGGCTGATACCACTACTTATTGTATTAGGGTAGTGCATAAAAAGTAAGTTAGGATCACATCCCCATTGAGACAGGGTATGGAAAAAATGAGTAAAGATTTCTTTTTACCCTGAAGACATCACAGTAATGAGAGAGTGTAAAAGAAATAGATACAGAGCTGCAAAAAAGTGGGTTTTTTGCAAGTAGTGTTGAAAATACATATTCTTCATAGCAACTTTTTCCTCCTCCAAGTGTTATTTTACTGGTTTTGATGGTTAGTAGATGCCTGGAATTAAAGTGAAGAATTAAATTTCTACATTTGAGGCCATATTATCATTATACTCATTTTAATGTCTGTGCAACTTCAGCATCTGAGACCGCAGGAACTTAACTGCTTTACTTGTTGGCATTACACTGAAGTTGATTTCAGTGAACCATAAAAAGTTTGGCCCTGAAGGTAAAATTACACTGTATGCATGTTCCTAACATACTGCTTTGGGGATAAACATGCCTTAAATCGACTCATTGCTCACAGCTAAATTCGTTTTCCAAATGCAGTTTCCGCATAGATAGCAATGTTCAGTAAGACAGACTTTCTTTAAAACCATAAAATTTTTTGAACATAATCCTATCAATAAACATATTTGAGCAGGATAGCAAAGAATTCACATAATCCTAATAAAGATTTGGGGGTTTTATGAAAGTAAGGGTGGGGTGCGTGGCAACATTTTTAATTAGCTTTCATCATTACCTCTGATTTGTTCAGATGTGCTGCAAATGTTTGCATATTGTGTTTGCTCACACGTACATAATGAAAACTTTTGGACTTCATTGAAACTTTAGCTCGTAATCATGCATTTGGAAAATTAAAATTGAAATTTACGATACCCTGGGTCCTACTTGCTCTGTTCGTTGTGTCTTTCTAAGACACCATCACTCGAGAGCTTTGTTACAGCAACATTTCTGTTGTGGCTTAATATGTTGTGGGTTCAGAGGTCTGTAATTGTGGCCTTGAGGGGTACAGACACCAGCTGGGTTTGTACGCAGGTATTCTTGGATTAATATTTTCAGACTTAGATCTTGTTCTGTCTGGAATTTAAACATAGCTCCCCATACTTTAAAGGGAAGGCAAGCACCATTTGAGGTTCTTAATGAGCACTTTGTTTTTTCCTCTTTAATTTGACTTTTGTTTTTTTTTTTTTTTACTTTCATTTTAACTCCTGTAGCCAATGAAATCCAGGCAGTTACTTGCAGACTGTTTTTACAGCCCTGTATGGACAAAGAGCTTTAGTTTGCTCCTCTGCTTAATTGCTGAATTAATAATAGTTAGAAAGTTTTGATATCTGCATCTCCATTTTTCTTCAAATATATAATGGTGAAAAAAATCCCCATATATTAGGCAAGTCATTGAAGTGTGAACAACTTTGTTATATCTGACATGTAACAAGTCTTTCAGGGCAACTAGGTTGTTTTTGTTTGTTTGTTTGTTTGTTTTTTTATTTGGGTTTTTTTTTAAATAATTCCTTTTGTTTCAGGTCTAAAATTTCAATTTTATTTCTGCATGGAAACAAGAGATTTAAACTCCCCCATACTGGGGAACCAGTCAGGGTTTTTCTTCTGTTTAGAAACCTTTGACCCATCCCTCCCCTGTTCAGTGAATGGAAATGGCAAGGCAACTTGTGCTGAGGGTGACTACAGATCTGCTTTCCATGTAGTTTATGCAGCAAACCTGCAGGGGAGAGGGTTTCAGGAGTCCTGCATATGGAAAAAAAATGCTTTTAAAGTATTTCTTTGCAAAAGAGAGCCTTTCTTATGCCTCTGAGTATATATTAACTGGTTATAATCCTTAGTTTTGAGGCACATAATTATTCACACAGCAGCACATGAAGGATTCGCAGGTACAGTTACGATTTCTATGTACTGGCAAGCAGCCTTTTCCAAGGGACAGAGGGGACTTTTTTTGTGTAAAGCTTCAAGTTCTATAATTAGTTGTACAGTAAAGGATTTAGATACGTGGCAAAACATATACAAGGGCATAGAAGTTTAATTAAGTCGCCTTTAATTTGTCTGCCTGGATATGTCATTACAGTAAGTGGTTTAATATTAACATCTATTTACATTTCTTTTTTTTTTCCTTTTTTCCAGATTATCACGAAGTATGTTTATGAACTACTGCAAAAGGAATGCCACTTGAAGAAAGTAACTCTCCCAGTAAGTATAAATTATATTTTTCCAAAGACATTGTTTGGATCTTTAAAAGACATACTCTGCAGTTGGGGCACTTGTGTAAAGGCAAGCTGTGCCAAGGCTCTGTGCAGGACATTATCTCAAGACACTGCCTTCACATGCAGCATCCGTGTGCACATGGCGACGTGTTTTGACCTCACTTCTCACATGCTTGATTTTTGAGCCTTCCTTGCCTTACCAGATACCAGCACTTCCAAAATGTGGTTTTGATAAAGGAACCATAAGCTTTGCAAAAAGTGTGAATGTTTTGATGTATTGCTTGATGTAGACTACAAACGTACATTTACAGGAAGAAGAGTAAACTCAAATGGAGTTTCAGTAAATTACTCCAAGTCTTTTTTTAAAACACACTTTTTCAGTAACTTGTAGCATGTGTGTAATATAAGGTGCTGCTCTGGTGAAAATACCTGGTGAACTCTTGGAAGTGATAAAACATTCCCCAGAGAACAGATACGACAGTGTTTGTAAATACGTGTAGTGCTATTATCATGTTTAAGTACTTTTACATTCTATGCTGGAGAGTGTGGGGGAGATTAGAGTGAGGGCACTGTGCAGGTTTTCCATCACTGTCATCCACGATTCTTATCGTCTTTGAGAAGCTGTTGCATTACTGTTGTTGTCAGCCAGTCCTTCATATTCAGTTGAGGAAAACCCATTTGGGCTAAAAGAGGAAAAATTTATTTGCTTTAGCGTTCTGTAACGTTTCACAGTTCCCATTTCCATTACCTAAGTCTTGTTTAGGGCATGTTTTGATAACTTGCTCAAACTACTCAAGTTTTCCCACCCAGGCTTTGCCAGTGTCTCCTGGTCGGGGCAGAAGGAGCTCTGCCAGGAGCTCCATGGAGCAGTTGGAGGGCAAACAGGAGCTCCCACAAGGGGTGCACCAATGCACCAAGACCACTTGAGAAAGTATTTCCCCACTTTAGATTTTCAAGTATAGACAAAGAAGAGGATTGGGTTCATAGCGGTGGTCTGCCTGGTGCAGTGCTGGCCATGATCTCTAACTTCTTTGCAGAACTAGTTTTCTTTGGGGAAGTTTTGGTCCAAGATGTACTTCCATATGCCAGACAAGTCATGTCACCCACAAACTGTGAAACCAGGAAGCTGTCTTTTATAAACATTGAAGTGCCTGAATCTTGAGGCTACAGAACTGTCTTTGAATGTCCTTTGTAAAAACAGATTCATCTATGTCATGCAATACTAAGGCTGACCTGTTAGCTTAAAAAAATCCTAGAAGTTGGGTTGGAAGGGACCTTAAAGCTCATAGAGTTCCAACCTCCCTGCCATGGGCAGGGGCACCTTCCACTAGACCGGGTTGCTCCAAGCCCTGTCCAACCTGGCCTAGTTACTTGCATTGTTGTTGTTATTGTTACTATTAATGTTATTATGTTTAACTTTATTTCAATTGTTAAACTGTTCTTCTCTCAAACCATGGGTTTTGTCTTTGTCTGATTCTTCTCCCCATCCCACCAGGCACAGTGGGGGCAGTGAGCATGGTGTTTAGCTGCCAGCTGGGGTTAAACCACAACATATCTGTTGGAAGCCCTCACCACAGCCAAAAATACATTATGAAGAGGCCTACAGAAATGAGAAAAATCAAATAATGTAGGTAGAAGCTGAAAAATTAAAGTTCTGTAAAGGCTATGTTAAATCACCGCTGACAGCCTGCCACCTAGCAACACAAAAAACCTATTTTAAACTAGTAAAGAAGACTAATAAAAGCAGTGAAACGGCTTGTAGCAAGAGTAAGTCCTGTGCAAGTGAGGAGAATAGAAAAAAGTATAAATGCTTGCAAGTTACATGTAAAATCACAGTAAGATCAACCCAAACTGAATTTGAGGAACTTGTTACAGTGGTAAAGACTGCTATTAAAAGGTAGCTGATAAGGCTGATGAATGCTTAGCTCAAACAAGAAAAACAAACATAGTTATTTCCAATATTATTTGTCTGGTTTCAACATTTCATTTTTTAAAACTTCTCTAAGCAGGATAGAGTTCTGAGGAACTATCTCAAATTTGGTTTGTCAGTAGTGGAGCTCTTAGTACAAATCAATATATCGTACAACAATCAAATCAAATTTATAAGAAGTCAAATATGGAGCTGCAGAACAACTAGCTAATACATAACTTCCTGCTGAAATCAGCTGTTTTCGTCAGAAAAGGCCTCCAGGAGTGATTGATTGTGATTCCTGGGTATCAGGAAGAAATAATATGGGGGGAGAGGGAGGATGGAGTTAGTACAGGTTTCTTTTTTAAAAAAAAACTACTACTATAATTCCGTGAAGGAGTCAGAGATCATGTGAAACAGAAAGATCTTGCCAATAAGAGTATGTGGATTCCCAACAAGCTGTCAGCAAGGTTAGCAAATGCTTTGAAAAAGCATAAGAGAAGGGAGTCCCCTTATGAGTTAATAATTGGTTAAAAGGGAAAAAAGATGTTCGTATTTCACTGAGGAAATAATTTATTACTGGTGCAGTGTTACTAAGGCCTGCACAGACAAAGTTGTAAATAAAAGGAAAAGAGGAATTAATATAAGCTAACAAACTTAGCGGGTTTTTTTCCTGAAATTGTTTAGAATACTTAAATCTGAAGCTTACTCTGATGAGTTGGGGAATTATTTCATGATGCTGAATGGTTGGATGATAAAATGACATGATATTCAATTCTGGTAAATGTGAAATTATGGGGAAATAACTCACTCTGTAAACACAATGGTGGCCTCTAAATGAGCTATTACAACTCAGGAAAGAGCTTGGAGTGATTGTGAATAGTTCTCTGAGGACATCAGTTAGTGCTCAATGGCAGTCAAAAACCCTCAAAGCAAATAGGATGTTAGGAATTATGAGGTGTTGAGAACAAAACAGGAAAACATCGTCATTCCACTCATTATGTGGGCCCTCATCTTGAACACTGCGTGGAGTCCGGACACCATATCAAAAAGGATATGAAGAATTTAAAAAAAAAAATCCACAGAGGAGGGTTACAAAGATGATCACAGGCATGAAATGCTTTTTACACAAAGAAAGATTAGACAAAGATTTCTTCAGCTTGGAAAATAGATGACTGAGGAAGGAATATGACAAATCTATAAAATCATGAAAGGTATAGAGGAGATGAATAGGGTATGGTTTTCTGCTGTTTTCATAATAGAGAAGCTAAGGGGCATCAAGTTTAAATTATCAGGCAGGAGTTCTCTACTGAAAGAGAGGCAATACTATTTTATATACATCCCAATTGTATTGTGGAACTCATTGCCACAGAATACTATCAAGGAGAAAGGTATAAATGCATTAAAAAAAAAAAGGCATTTGACAATACTAAGATGGGTTAAGTGCATTGAGCTATTGTACACGCTTGTCCAGTTACAGACTCTGGCTCAGGAGGCTCCAAAGTTACTACTGGTTGCCAAAACCAGGGAAAAGTCACACTATAACCACTCTGTTCTCATACTGTTTCCTTACATAAGCTACCAGTAGCCAGAAGCAGGACCTGGGACCTTGATCTTACCAAGATGTGTACTCTTATGACTGTGACTGTGTTATATGAATATTTTGGAGGTGAAACGAAAACGCTTCTTACAAACTTTGTTACAGGTGATCAGAAAGTTGGTATATCACAGAGCCACAGAATGGTTTGGGTTGGAAGGGACCTTAAAGCTCATCCAGTTCCAGTCCACTGCCATGGGCAGGGACACCTTCCACTAGACCAGGTTGCTCCAAGCCCCATCCAACCTTGAACACTGCCAGGGATGGGGCAGCCACAGCTTCTCTGGGCAACCTGTTCCAGGGCCGCAGCACCCTCACAGGGAAGAACTTCTGCCTAAGAGCTCATCTCAGTCTCCCCTCTGTCAGGTTAAAGCCATTCCCCCTTGTCCTGTCCCTGCAGGCCCTTGTCCAGATCCCCTCTCTAGCTTTCTTGTAGCCCCAAGTCTCTGCCCAGCCTTTTGGCCTATTTGCCTTCCTTTTTTATGTCAGCTCATAAGAAATAAGCAGTGTAGTGACGTTTGAATATATAGAATGTGTTTTAGGGCTGTGTTAAGTGGAACACTTGTTTTTTCCATATGATTTTCTGTGGAAACACTATACTTCAAAGGTATAGGTTGACAGCATTTCATGTTCTGTCATCCTCATTCATTTCATCCTCATATCTGAAGTCCAGCTTGTTGTCTCTATTTTGCCTTCTTGTGGTAGCTTCAGTATGGGACAGAATTATTTGGAAATTTCTTTTCAGCTATGAAAATAAGAATGGTTTGGAAAACAGGAAAGCTTGTCCATTATTTTATTATGACAGCATCTCTGACAAAACATAAATCTGAACATTTTTTTTCCTAAATATGCTGACAGGCGTATTACGTTATTGTTACTGTAAGGTATAGTCGTACTCCTAATTTTCAACATATAGTACTGGACTTATAAATTTAAATGAAGAGACTTACATTCGGGGATAAGCCATTCAATTATTTCTTTAAAATTTCTCATTTTGTGCTCCATTGAAGGTTATATTATTAAGACTGCATTTTTTTTCTCCAGATAACGTCTTTATATTTCTCTAGTTTTAATGGCATAATCAGGGATTGATCTCTGATCTTCTTTAGCTGTTGAGGAAAAATAGAGGGCTTCTGAATTAAATGTATTTTTAACAGTTCTGGGAAGGCATGGGATGGAGGTTTAAGGGTGGAGTTTTACTGACATGTTTCATTGACCATGGCACTGAAAGTTCTCACTTTGCAGTATCTTCTAACTTATCAATGCTTTGCTTTTTCACTTCAATAGGTAAAACTTGGTTCAGTATTTTTCTTGATCAACTCAACAGCTAAGAACTTTTTTTTTCTTTGAAAGACAATGGTCTGTTGTCTCCCCTGTATGTTCCTTTTTGCTGCTTTGTCACCTGAGTCCAATCAATACTTGTTTCTTAAAAGTTCCCCTGATTGTAGGTTTCTTAGGTTAGCTGTGGTAATAACCAGAT